CCCAGCCTCCCCCTCCCCGGGTGCCCCATTGTCACCCCCGCGCGCCTTGGGCAACCCTCACAAAGCATGCACCTGGGCCCGGCGGGCCCCCGGTCCTGACCCGGGCCGACCCGACGCGACCCCGCGGTGCCTCCCGGCCCGGCGGCCCGCTGGCTGGTGTGGCGAGACGTGCAAAAAGGGCAGGCAGGAGTCGCAAAACGGGGGCGACTCGACAGTAATGATTCTACTTCGAAGGAATAATTATGATAATATGAAAAAAGCAGCGTTGTTCTCACTATTGTTTTATTTGTCCCACTTTAGAGAGTCGGGAAAAATACGAGGAATTTTAAAAACCGAAAACATTCAGAAAACAGCCCGTATGGCTTACTTAACTACCTTTCTGCAAACAAAAAATCGTTCGAAACTGAAGGCTTTGTTCGGCTATATCCACATATATGTTACAAAGCGATACGATTTAATCTGTGAACACTTTTTCCGGAATACTTTTTGATGTTTTCATCTTTTTCGTCTAGACTTGTTACAATAGTCTACTGTTTTGTGTCTTTTGTTTCAAATTCAGCTTGCAAAATTGTGATCAAGGCCTCAGTAATGGGCGGAATCGCCCCCCCCCCCCCCCCACACCGCACGTGTGCGCCACTACTTGTTCCCCGGAGTGTAACATAAAAGTCACCACCACAGAGCCCTTTCTTGTGGAAACGACTTGAAACTAACCGAAATGTCCCATGCTTCTGTACCACGACACGGCGTTGACAAGGCATCACGAGGCAATGGGGAGCAGCGGACTGCGCGCGGCACGCCGGCGGAAGGCGACCTGGGCGGCGACAGGACAGATGCGCCATAAAATAAATCCTGATGCAACTCGGCGGCGCGAATGCGGCGGTGGCGGCGCGTGGCACAGGGCGGCCCGGGGGCGCGGCCTGCGCGTCAAGTCCGCCCGCAGTCCGCCTGAGACGCGACGACGCTCCGGGGGATCATCGCCACAAAAGCAGGACGGGGCGAGGGCCTCGGCGGGGCGGGCCACTCCCACTATATCGGCAAACTACTCATACGATTTATAGCTGGTAGCTGCTCACGGCGGACACAGGATGTGCACCAGGACGCCGGCGAAGGGTCCGCCACAGACACGCCCCGCCCGGCCTCCCGTCCGAGTTCCGGGGTGCGCCGCCGAGGGGGCCCCTTCCTCCAGGGGGCTCGTCCGCACGCCAGACGCCCCCGCGTGTTGGGTTGCCTACCCAGTCGGGCGGTCTCACGGCGCCCCGCGGGGAGAGAAGGGGGAGGGAGGGGGGAGGGGGCGAAAGGCGGGCGGCCGCCAGCTTCAGCACTTTCTCTCCGTGGCGGGGCGTAGCGGGCGCGGCGGGGGGTTACGCGATGCTGCCCGTGGAAGACGGCCCAGCCCAGTCACACTGCAGGCCATGGCGGGCCCGGCAGCCTGGCGGTCGCTGCTCGCGCGGGGGCCGCGGCCCCTGCTGGGTCACGTCGTCAGACCCTCGACTTCGACGGCGACGCCGTCCTCCGCGGCGGGCGACGACGCCGTCCTGCACGGCAGCGTGAACGACGTCCGCGGCTACGACGAGGTGCCAGGGCCACGACCGGTGCCCTTCCTAGGCAACAGCTGGAGGTTCCTGCCCGTCGTAGGTGAGCACAGCGGACTTCGCCTGCAAGTTGTTGTCTTGAGAGCCATCGGAGCTAACTGCGCCGTTGTTTGAACGTCTCCAAGGGAACTACCGCATCGAGCAGATGGACAAAGTGTGCCTCGGCCTCCACCGGCAGTACGGCGACATCGTCAAGGTGGCCGGGCTCCTGGGCCGACCCGACATGGTGTTCGTCTTCGACGCCGATCTCATCGAGCAGGTGTTCCGCGGCGAGGACGCCCTTCTGCCCGTCCGGCCCTCCATGCCGAGTCTGGACGCCTTCAAGCACGGCATCCGCAAGGACTTCTTCGGTGACCTGGCCGGCGTGATCGCGGTGTGCGTATGCATGCAAAGGAACGGGGTGGTCTCCGCCGGGGCCGGGCATGATGGCCTTGTTGTAGCTGATGGGCGTGGGAGTCCTCTCAAGTCAAAAGTATTCCTTGTGCGGACACGGCCTTGTTATAGCTGACGGGCGCCTCCTCTGTGCAGACACGGCCCCAAGTGGCTCGAGTTCCGGACGCGGGTGCAACAGGTCATGCTGCAGCCCCGGACGGCCAAGCTGTACGTGGGCGCCATCCAGGACACGGCCGACAGCTTCGTGCGCAGGGTGCGCCGGCTGCGGAGCCCGGCCGGCGACGCGCCGCCGGACTTCGTCAACGAGATCCACAAGTGGTCGCTCGAGTGTGAGTACCGGCCCGTGCTCCTGGAGGTCCTGGTCCAGGCCGTCGTCATAATGTTTGCCCCGACCGATTTGTCCTGTCGCAGCCATCGCCAGGGTGGCGCTGGACGCACGACTGGGCTGCCTGGACGATCGACCGCCCGCTGACACCCAGGCCCTCATCGACGCCGTAAACACCTTCTTCATGAACGTCGGCGTCCTGGAGCTCAAGCCGCCGCTCTGGAAGATCTTCCCCACCCCAACGTGGAAGGCTTACATCCGTGCGCTGGACGACATCACAAAGTACGCGCGGGGCGAGAGGCGCAGTCGCGCGACACCCGACGACCCCCCGCGAACAAAGTGGCTGACGTTTGTCGTGTTGCAGCATCACGTCGGGCTACATCACCCGCGCGCTGGACGCGCTCCGGGAGACGGAGCACGCCGAGCTGGGGCCGGACGCCTCCCTGCTGCAGCGGGTGCTCGCCAGCCACGACGCGCGCACCGCGCACATCCTCGCCATCGACCTCTTCCTCGTCGGTATCGACACGGTGAGTGCTCTCCCTCCCTACCGCGTCCAGGAGGACGAGTTCTAGGACCACCACCGCCCTCATGACCCCCCCTCCACCCGCTCAGACCTCCGCGGCGCTGTCGTCCGCGCTGTACCAGCTCGCCCTGCACCCGGAGCAGCAGGAGAAGCTGCACGGCGAGGTCGTCCGGGTGCTCGGCCCGGACGGCGCAGTCACCGCCTCCGCGCTCGAGGACATGCCGTACCTGCGCGCCGTGCTCAAAGAGGTCCTTAGGATGTACCCCGTGGTCATCGGCAACGGCAGGACGCTCACCGAGGACACGGTCGTTGGCGGCTACCTCATCCCCAAAGGGGTAAATATGACCCGGGTGCATTTACGACGGCCGTATGGTCTTGATCGGCGACGCTTGCCACACCATCCGCACTCTCTCTCTCTCTCCGTCCCAGACCCAGATCATCTTCCAGCACTACGTGGCGAGCAACCAGGACCGGTACTTCCCCGAGGCCGGCCGGTTCCGGCCCGAGCGCTGGCTGCGCGAGCACCAGGCCGCCTGCCCGGCCCACCCCTTCGCCTCCCTGCCGTTCGGCTACGGCCGGCGCATGTGCATCGGCCGGCGCTTCGCGGAGCTGGAGCTGCACACCGTGGTGGCCAAGGTGAGCCCGAGGAAAGGGAGAACATCAAAATGTGGCAAAGCGCTGCCTTCTAACGGGCTCCCGTGTTCGGCTCCGTCCTTTGCCTTACCATTTCCATGTTTTGGTTCGTCTTATCCTATTTTGTTTAGGTCACCTAATAACCTAAAGTGGTGTATTTGCTTATGGTGTGGGATGGAACCCAGGCCATTGTAACCAGTGTGCTAGAAAAGTAGGCAAAATGCGCGACAGGGACAAGGCAATTCCGTTTCAGGCGTGGACTAAGTTTGCCTAGCAGGCAGGCGCAGATGACAAAACCACTCTACACCCCTGTGTTTGTCCCGCATTTTTCATGTATTGTTCTCGCAAACACTGTAGGTTTGTGCGCGGCTTCTATATCGTCTGAGGCAATTTGGTAAACCGTTCCTCTGTTCGTGCTTTCAGATGGTGCAGAACTTCCGGATGGAGTACAACAAGGCCCCACTGCCCTACAGAGTGCACCCCATGTACATGCCCCACGGACCACTGCAGCTGACCCTCCACGCGCGGTAACACCATGGTAACACCATGGTAACACCATGGTAACACCCCTCGCAACTCCGAAAAGAGCGTCAAGGCGACTGACACCGCGGTGTTTGCCAACCCCAGGGACCATGGCGCCTTGCGGGCAGGGCGGATAGGCAAACTCGCTCGCCGTGGTGTCGCAGCCCTGACACACGGCACAAGTGTGTATATACTTCTGAAAAAATTTATGTACATTTTTTATTTCTAATAATTAAAAACGACTACCTCAGTTACCATTATTTTATGAAATGATATTTATTTATGTAGGAGACTGTACAAAATGGTTCCACCGAGAAGTGGTGACGTCAATACGACATCGGACTGGAGTCGATATCAGAAAATTGTCGATTTTGTGCGTCAAATCGTCCCGAAATCGACACTTCTCGTCGGTTGATGTCGATTGCTCCCAGGGCGATGTCGCGCTGCTCATCGCTCGACGAGCTTGAAGCGGAGCTCGCCCTCCGGGGCGTACATGAACGTGACCTGGTAGTCCAGCGGCCGGTGGTGGTACTCGAGCCGGAACTTGCGCACGAGCTGCGGGCAAACAGAACGGCAGGGGTGAGCGAATACCCTGAATACTCCCCGAGCGGCGTTCTTGACATCGTGCACTGGGCGCTCGGCGGCGAGGTCGGCGGAGACTTCAACGCTGGGCGGCGTGAAGTCACTGCGGTCAACAGGGTGGCTTGGTAGGGCTGTGCGGTATTTGATAATTTTGAAAGTTTTCGGTATTTATTAACTATTAACATTAGATGTTGCATTTTTTTTCAATTCGGGAACGATACTTACACAATATTAAAAATACTGAAAAATATCAAAATGTAAAGTTTTGGAAATTTCGATATTCCGATATTATCAAAATTTTCGGTATTTCGATATTTTCGACATCGAAGAATATTTTGGTACGATATTGATAACCAATAACGAGAAGTGTCGATAGTTTTGGGTCATTCAGGTTCGATACTAAAATTTCATTATCGCACAGCCCGGGGTGGTCTAGGCCTACGTATCAACGCCGTCCTCTGCAGCAGTAGGTACTACTAGAGCAGTAGGTACTAAACCCACCAGCACATTCTCCGCTCTCAATGGTGACACTACGAGCGCGGCGTTTCAGATCCCGGGTTCACCGATCACGGCGATCACCCCTGCGATCACCCAAGAAAAAGCGCTGGGGGTTTGCCTACCTCCTCCAGAGGGACCACCTTGAATCATTTACAAACTATACAACGATGTTTATTAATTTTTAAGATAGCGACCATGTGGACTTACCTTGGCGAGGAGGACATGCATCTCCAGGTCGGCGAACCTCCGGCCCAGGCACATCCTGGCGCCGTAGCCGTACGGCAGCGACGCGAAGGGGTGCACGTCGAGGGAGGCGTCGTGGCCCTTGATCCAGCGCTCCGGCAGGAACTCGTCGGCGCGGCCGGCGTAGCGGGGCATGTTGCCCGTGACCACGGTCGGGAACACGAGCTGCACCTGCGGGAGGGGAGCAGCACGACCGGGGTCGTGACGTCTGAGCGAGTCGGCAGGGACAGCACGAGGCACGCAGAAATGGAGACGAAGGCTGACTTACCCCTTTCGGGATGCGGTACCCGCAAATAGTCATGTCCTGCGTGAGGGTGCGACCGTTCCCGATGACGGTCGAGTACATCCTGCAGAAAGCAACAACATCACACAATCGTTTTGGGCCGAGTTTTGGGCGGTGTTTTTCTTCACATACAGGGTGTCTCACAGGCCGCGCGCTTTTGTTCGATTATTCTGGACCTCATGAGGCGTACGGGCGGGCTTGCCTACCGATACACATGACGCCGTGCGAGTAGGCAGCTCACCCACTTGAATGCGGTAAAAATAACCATGGTTATCTTCTTTACTAGGAACCGTAATAATATCATGTAACTTGACGATGGATTATGGTTTCCAGTTTATCCACCATAGTTTTCCCAACCTTTAACCATGGTGTTTCATGGTTACCATGGATTATCATCACCATAATACTATAGTTAATCAACATTAAACCATGAGAGACCATGGACTACCATCTATTACCATAATTTATATTTTACTATGGACTTCCCCATGGTAATTTTAGCCTGGGATATCCAAAAGAAAGTGCGCGGCATCATTCTTCTAAATCCACCCTCCCTCAGGCAACACGACTCGCGCCCACACGCACCGGAGCACCTCCTTGACGAAGCCCTTGGTGTAGGCGAGCTGGTCGAGGTGGCGGGCCGTGAGCGGGGTGTCCGGGTCGGGCAGCACGCGCTCCAGCTCGGCGAACATCTTGTCCTGCACCTCGGGCCGCGTGGCCAGCTGGTACAGGATGGAGCACACGGCCATCGAGATCTGCGACAAGACAATAACGGAGAGTTGTGAGCGAACTCGGCCTTGCGTCTCGGCGGGGCTGCTGGCGGCGCGGCCAACGCGACGCGCTCCTTACCGTGTCGATGCCCACGAGGATCAGGTCCAGGGCGAGCACGTACGCCAGCTTGCGGTCCGTCTGCTCCGCCAGGATGCGCTCCACGACGGAGAGCTCGCCGTCCTCCTTGGTGGCCAGCCGCTCCATGGCGCGGTCGATGTGCTTCGTGCAGACCCTGCGCGACAGGCAGGCGGAGAGCGAGGCCTCATCAGTGAGGGTCGCGGGAGCGCCGGCGAGGCGGGCAACCCACCCTACTCGCGCCCACGAGCGGCTGCCGTGTGCGGCCGCCCGGGCGGGCGCGGGGCAGTGGTGCTCTGCGATATTACGATATCGATACGATATCGTCCATTATCGGGAACTCGATATTCTCCCAAAATAGATGTATAGAAGTCACGATATTCCGGTCCGTTTCGGACATATCGTCTCTCGATATTGTTCAATATTGCGATATCCACCAACGATCTTTACAACTCGATCACTCGATATTATCAAGACTCGGTGCATCAAGTCGATGTTATGTATTTCTTCGATATCCTATCACATCAAAATATCGCACAACCACCTGGACGCGCTGCAGCGGCGTACTCACTCGACGAAGAAGTTCATGTTGTTGACGTAGTGGGTCCACAGCGGGGTGGGGATGTACCGCCAGAAGGGGAACTTGAGCTCCAGCACGGCCACGTTCCTCAGGGCGAACTTGGCGGCGTCGATGATCTTCTGCGGCTCCGAGTCGGGCGGGAGGTTCGGGTCCAGGCAGCCGAGCCGCGTGTCCAGCGCGACACGGCCGATACCTGCAGCAGGCGGGGTGGTTGAGTACCGCGACCGTCTCGGGGGGTGGTTGGGGGGGGGGGGGTACTCACACTCCAGAGACCACTTGTGGATCTCGTTGTCGAAGTCGGCCGGCATCTCACCCCTGTCGTCCCGCATGTCTTGCATCCTGGGCAACCGCAGAGTTAGAGTGAGAGGAGAGAGATTGGGGGGGGGGGGGAGGCATCGTAAGGACCAATGCCGGCGGCTTTGGCCACCACAGTGAGGGGGTGGGAGTAGGGGTACAGTCAGCGAGGCTGTAGCTGTGAAACAACGCGCAATATCGACATCATGCAGACGACCCTAACGTTGGCGTGACCGCCCGTCCACCGCCGTGCCCAGGAAGTCTGGACGGGCCGGCGGGCAGTCAGTGTGTCCTACTTGTAGCGGTGTGGCCGGCGTGGCCAGCGCCGCGGGGAACAGTTCGTCTGGGAGAGACTGGAGGAGGAGGAGGGAGGTGAGGGGGCGGGGGGATACGAGTTTCGGGCGTTTTTGGGGTGACGTCCACGCCCATTCCGGCTGCGTTTGCTTTCTCTATAGAGGCCCGTCCGGTCGGCTAGGTCCGTAGTATACCTCTGCAGGAAGCAGTCGGTGACGTCCTCGATGGGGCCGATGTAGGAGCGCACCGTCTTGGGCTGCAGGCACGGCCGCTGGACGCGCGACCGAAACTCCCGCCACGCCTCGCCGTGCCTAGAAAGAAATACTATTATTTTCAAAAAATAAAACAAATTACCATAGCGGCGCCGCATTCTCTCCTGAATAACCTGTACCTGGTGCCGGCGTGCGAACGGGCTTGCCTACCACCGCGGCGCCTTACGGCCCCGTGTGAATATGCAACCCGCTCGCACGCCTGCACCCGGTACAGTATATCTCTGGAGGTGAGAACGGCGCCGATGGGCCTCCCTGTATGTGAAAATAAAACAACCGAGCGAGCTCGTGTGTGGTTTCTTTGGAGAGCAGTGCAAGAGCGAGAGCGACACCCCGTGACTTATTAGGGAAAGAAAGAGGAGCGAATAAAAGCGACTGGTAAAAAAAAAAAAACGGGAAAAGTGGTATTATCTGCTTCACACTCCACGCTCGCTCCACGCCTTTCCGTCGCGGGCGGCCGGCTACCGAAGAAGCACCGCCGAAATGCTTCCATGCTCCGGTGCCAACTCAACTCAGTCACTCATTTAATTTTTTTTTTTAAATATTTATTAAAAATATATCTATCTCAAATGTATACTCACACTCCTACGACTCCAGCCAGGTAGCCGAAGAAGTCCTTCCGCACGTCCGACTTGTAGCTGAAGAAAAATAATGCAATCGTTGACGTGATATATTTTAATAGACTTATTTCCTATATTCTTCCACTGGCTCGCACTCTCCCTCACCTGACGAGGCACGGCATGGCCGGCCGGAAGGGCGTGGGCCCCTCGTGGCGGTACACCCTCTCGGTCTCGTCCGCGTCGAAGACGAACACCAGGTCGGGCCGGCCCACCAGGTTGGACAGCTTGACGCAGTCGCCGTACTGCTCGTGCAGCAGCGCCGACACCCGCGCCAGGTCCGACACCTGGTACTGACCTCCACGCCGGACGCAGCAAGGAAGGTTTAATCCATTATTAAATCGGAAAGCGAGAGCGCTATGGATTTCTAGACAGAGTAACGGTGCGCAAACTACTTCATTTTCAAAGAATGGGCGCCACTTACCCACGACGGGGAGCAGCCTCCACGTGTTGCCGATGAGGGGCAGCGGCCTGGGGCCGGGCATCTGCTCGTAGGGGAGCCCGTCGACGGCGACCGGGTCCGCGTCGTGGACCTCGGCCTCCCGGGGACACAGGGGTGCCGTCGCCGTGGTGGAGGAGCGGGGCCGCACTCCGGACCGCAGCATCCCTCGCAGCCTGTCCAGGATCACGATGATGGTGGTCAGAGTCCCGAAGAACAAAACCATTTGCACGAGCCGGCCGGCACGACCGGACCCAAAAATCATATGGGTCTTTTCTACTATGTGGCAGTTGTCGGATCAAGTACACATTAGCATATACTGTACATTTGTTTAGAGAAACATTGTAATTTGCTCGAAGGAACAAGACAATGTTCTTCATTTCAACAAGCTCAAATAGCTTATCTGAACCACTCCTCTTCTAAGGTCGGAGCTTGGTATCTCGGGCCAAGAACGCAAACTCGTTCAGAGCGCTGAGCTGGAATTTCGACCACTTTGACGTCCAGGCCGTCAGCCCGAGTGGTGCGGGGCGGGTAGCAGTCTGGGGGAGGGGG